CTAGTACACTCAACACTATCATGGGCATGAGCTCCTATCTCTAAAATAAAATATAAAACTCAGGGCCAGAGATGAGTCAGCAGTTAAGAGCACCTGCTGCTCTTCCAGAGAACCTGGGTTCTGTTTCCAGTTCTTATGGTGGTTTACAAACATCTGTAACTCCAGATCCAGAGTATTCAATGCCCACTTATGGCTTCCACAGCACCAGGTCACACATGACACACATACATACATGCATGCAAAACACAAGTGAAGCTCAGAAGAATGTCCTTGAAACATTTGGAAACTAAACAACATGCATCTAAATTATCCATGAGTCAAAGAAAGTCTCAAGAGAAGTAAAAAGTAGACACTGAACTAAATGAAAATACAAATTATTAAAAATCTTATAATTAACTAATATAATCTTCAAAGGGGATTTGTAGTTCTAAATCAGTAATTTAAGTTCCCATATTTAAAAAACTTAAATAAATATTATAAATAAATCAAATGCTACTTGAAAAAAAGGTAATAATAAAGAACAGAAATGAATGAATTGTAAACAGGAATAGAATCAGTGAAAAAGCAGCTGGTTCTTTAAAACTATCAATAAGGTAGGCATGGTGGCACCCTTCTGGCTGATGGCAGGTTGGTCATGCTCCAATGCCAGGCCACACATCCAAAACTACATGGGTAACATAAATTAGACTTGATGGTTTGGGGTGAGGTTGGAACACATTGTTGGGTGGGTAGGGAAGTCTGGAAAGAGTTGCAGGAAGGATGGTTATGATGAAAATACATTGAACAAAAGTCTCAAAGAACTAATTTAAACTTTGCCAGAAAGGACAAGAATTGTCTGAGCACATAGTAGAGAATATGAGCCAATGTTCAAGCAGCAGAATTAGCTCTGACAGTGAGGCACCTCATCTACTCTCAGAGTAAGAGAAAAGGAAAGAAATCTATGAGTAAATTGGGAAATTTGACTGTGATTTGTGCAGATGGCCATACCCGGATCGATTTTCTTTGTGATGAGAAGGCAAGGTCATCAGCAAACACTGAAGGGATGGGTTAGTCAACTAATCCAAATCCAGGAATACACATATTTAATAATGATAATAAAAGAAGAACAAATAGTTACTGTTTGTTTCCTGCAGCTGTTCATTAGAACCAATACAACTTTTTTTTTCAAATAATCCACCAGGGGGCAATGCTGTGATCAATCTTCTCATCCCTCAAATCTTGCAACACTATGAAATTATAATAGACTATAATGCATTATATATTGTAAAATTTCCCTCCACAAAATTCTGTTTAACATTTAAGTACATGTATCCGTGTGTTCTCATGCATGTGAACTCACAACTATACATCAGAATGATGTTCTTTCTTTTGTCAACCTCTCATTGTAATTACATGTTCCTTCTCCCCACCCAATTTCTTTAGGACACACAACAAATACTCTCTAAAGCAGTGGTTCTCAACCTTCCTAACGCTGGACCCTTTAATACAGTTCTTCATGTTGTGGCGACTCCCAACCATAAAATTATTTCATTGCTAGTTCATAACTATAATTTTGCTACTGTTATGAATCATAATGTAAATATCATAAATATGTGATAGGCAGGATATCTGACATGTGACCCTGGGAAAGGTGTAGCAATCCACAGGTTGAGAACTGCTGTTCTAGATCATTTATTTCTTATGGTTAATCAATTAGAATATCCAATGAGAAAAAAGTCCCTAAAAACAAAACCTTATAGCCAGGTGTGGTAGCACATGCCTTCAATACTAGCACTTCCGAGAACCAGGAGATTACCCCAAATTCAAGGCTAGCCTGGGCTAAACATCAAGTTTCAGGCCAGCTGGAGAGTAAGGCCTTATCACAAAACAAAAATAACATAACACATCTCTAATTACATAGCTTCTTTCCAGTTGTATTTTCCCCCCACAAATTAGAGTTATGTTTTCAAAATAGCCTTAAACTGTCATGTATTTAATAAGCTACCATTTCCTTTCTCTCTGATGCTTGCTGCACCCTTAAAATGAAGACATGTCAATCTATATGACTATTAAGTATACCGGTCACAAAAGCTATTTAGGGGTTATGTATGTAGCAATCTGGCTGGGATATATCTCTAAGTTTGGGTCTAATTAATTTGAGCTTCTAAGAAGCCAAGAACAGAGCTGTAACTTAAAACAGTTGGTCAAGATTTTAAAAGGAAAAGTAAATATAAGGGCTGGGAATGGGCTGGGGATTCAGTAATAGACTGCCCAGAACCAGCAAGACCTTGAGTTATATAGGCAAGACCTTCAGTTTGATCCCTAATATGAGGATGTGAATGTAAAAGCCAACTATTTCCCCCAGACACTTAGTGGATGTAGAAGGAGGTTATGCTCTGCAAGTATAGGCTATTTAATTGGCTGTTTCAGCAGGAGGACCTAACTTCTGCAATTGGAGAGGCTTCCAGTCACACCATGCTACTGCTTGTGTCAGATGCCTAAGGGGCTAGAGCCAAAGGGAGTGTGTCAAAGGGGGAGGCTGAAGTCATCAGAAGACTAGGAGCATGAGGGATTTTTGCACGAGGGATTTTTAAATGGGTAAAATCTGTGTTTGACACAAGCTTCCAAACTTGCCTATTTTGAGCTAAAGCTGTTCTAAAACATACTCAAGAGCTATATCATGAAGAGAATCTACAAGGTAAGGGTTGATGTAGCCAGGCGTCAAAGTGTAACAGTGTCAACTTTTTTTGCAAGCTGTTTCAAAAACAAAGTTTCAAAGATTTCTAAAGTAGTATTATTTTTGCTTGTTTTTTTCAATTCAAGGATGATCTGAACTTCTAGTCCTCTTTCCTTCTCCTCCTTGGAATGCTGGTATTACAGACTTGTGCCATCTAGCCCTGTTTATGCAGTACTGGGATAAAACCCAGGACATCTTGTAAGCTAAGCAAGCATTCAACTGTTACATTCCCTTCTAATTAGAAAGTTGCATGGTTTTTTTGTTTTTGTTTTTTGTTTTGTTTTGTTTTTAAAGCAGGACACTATTCCACTGGCTGGTCTTGTAGTTTGGACTGATCTTGAGCTCACTATGTAGCCAAGGATGGTCTTGAACTCTTGATACTCCTGCCTCCACCTTCCAAGTGCTGGGATTACAGGCATGAGCAACCACACCCCCCAGACCAAAAAAAAAAAAAAAAAAAAAAAGTTCCACCAATTTCTTTAATCATTATTATTGTGTATATGACAGAGAGTTTTGAGTGAGTAAATATATATACATACTTTATTGTTATATGGGCTCCAGGGGATCAACTTTAAGTCACCAGGCTTGTGGGACAAGTACTTTTACCCACTGAGCCACGTGTTTACTTGCACATTCATTTATATTGTTTGTTGGGTTTTGGGGGGCTGGGTTGTGTGTATTCGAAAGAGAGACAGGATCTCATCTAGCTTAAGCTGGCCTAGAATGCTGGAATTATGCTGGCTTTGAACCTCTGATCCTCCTAACTCTGGCTCTCAAATGCACGTGGTGAAATTGCATGTCTGGGTTACAGCAACAGGCAACAAAACAAAACAACACAAACCCCTCTCTTAGTAATGAAAATATTTTACTCACATCAGAACCCCCCAAATGAGTGTTAAAGCTAAAACACCTCTACACTATTACTGTATGTCAAATCTTTGTTCCTGTTCAAAAGCCACACACTGAATCCTTAGATTCCCCCCACCCCCACACAAATGACCTAAGTCAGGGTCTGATTTCATTGACACACTTGCACTCCCCAACAACAGCACTTCCTTTGAAAAACAGAATGTCACTTCCTCAGTCCAGAGGCCAGAAGTCCCTTGATTCTGATCTGGGGAGCAGAGACAGGAAACTCTGGTAAGCTCTGTCCCCCATGGCCAGCCACTGGTGCAGCTGACAGAGGGCAGGGTCTGCTGGGAGCTCCCTTGATGCACTGCAGCTGGAAGCAACCGCTCACTTCCAGGCTGTGGGAGTGATTTCTCAGAGTCCAGCACTCCCGGGCAGCATAACAAGGACGTTTCTTGGCAAGTGAAGAGGAGGAAGATGGGAGAACCTGCACTCCTTTAACGGACTTTCCGTTTCTAAACTCCTCGGACTAACCCGTCTCAGATCTTGGCAGCACTTTGTTCCTTGACCTCGCTAAGGAAGGAGCAGGCGCCCCCCACCACCACCACCACCGTGGTCAGTTTCTCACCTAGAGGGGACAGCTTGTCCCAGCATTTTCAGTAAACACTGTCAGTTAGCACCACCTAGCAATTGAGAACCATGATCTCTCCAGACCCCAGACACCAAGGGCTGCACAACACAAAACTCTGGCCAGTTACAGCGGACCAAATTGCAGTGTCACCCCGTGGGGAGGGCGACCGCGCGGGGTGGTGGTGGTGGGGCGGGTGAAGGGGCTGTGAGAGACATACGGGATAATGGGAAAGAAGGGGGACAAACAAATGAGTCACTTAATACAAGCGCTGCACATGCCGCTGACGCTGCCGGTGATGCAGCGGCCGCGGACTGGAAGGAAGCCGGCGGCCACCGGGGAGGGGCGGGCAGAGAAAGGGACCCGGAGAGGGGCGCGGCGCCTCGCCCTTTGTGGGCCGGGGACCGCGCGGCCCCTCAGCCTACCCTCCCGCTGGGGGGCGACTCGGCCCCCTCAGCCCCGGGCGTCAACTCTCCGGGTCGCCCAGAACAATCGCTACAAACTTCGGCACGGCGCGGAGTTCCCGGGGAGGCCGGCGACCAGCAGCGGCAGCCGCCGAGCCGCAGCCCCGGGCGGCGCCCCGCCCCTCGGCGGCGCACCTGTGACAGGTGTGCAGCGCCCCGCTCGCGCCCCGCCGCTCCGGCCCTCGGAGGCCGCGGGGCCCCGGCCCGCCGCCCCCCCACCCCGGCCTCTCTCAGCGTCCCCACCTCAGAGGCCACGGGACGCCCCCCCCCGTCCGCTCGCCCGCCCGCCCGTCCGTCCGCCCGCCCGCTCGCCCTCAGGGCCGCGCCCGCTCGCCTCACTCACATAGCGCCTCAACTTCTTCTCGGGAGGCGATTTCCTCAGCCAGCCGGTGCACACCACGTCGTCGCCGCCGCTCATGTCGCCGGCTGTCTGGAGCCCGCCGCCGGCTCGCGCGGACAAGGGCGCGGGCTGCTTGCTGGGTCAGCCGGCTGCCGGTGCGCAGCTCGCGGTGGAGGGGAGGGGCCGGGCAGCCCCGGGCGAGGACGAGGCGGCGCGGCGCGCGGGCCCGGCTGCCTGCGCGCGCTCGACAACACCCCCCCCCACACACACAGCGCCGCCGCGCGCGCGCGCGCACACACACACTCCCAGCCAGCCCCGCCAGGGCGCCTCAGCAGGCGGGCTCTCGCCACGCCCACAGCCCCCGCGGGGTCCCTGAGGGCGATCTGCACAGAGGCCAACTACCCAGGCTTCGGACCCTCCAGGCCTGGAGGCCAGGAGGCCAGCAGAGCTGTCGCCAGCCCAGCCGGTGTGCCCTCAGGATCTTGGCTGGGTTCTCCCCCCCCCCCCCCGAAGCCTAGAGCTGCAGGCGGGGTCGTGAAGACCTGCTGGCTGGAGCTGGTGCTGGAGCTGGTGCTGGTGCTGGGGAGAGTGAAGGATAGAGGCTGCCCACCCTCGACCAAACACCGATCCTATCCCTCCCCCCAACCCCCACTCCAGGGTCCTGTGGGAAAGAGATCCAAGGGCTGCTCCAGTTTCCTGTCCATTCTCACAGTTTCAGGTTTCAATAAGTCCGATTCTGGCTGAAATGAGTGTCCTGCTTCTCTGAAAGTTAACTCTCACAGCTCTCTAGGCCAGAGAAGGAAACAGACCTACTGTGTGCTGCGAACTTTTGCATTCATTGCTCATAGTGATTGTCTTCATTAACTTACCAATCGGGTAGACAGTAATTATACCCACTTTACAGATAGCCTGAAGTCCCACACGGACACAATGCAGCCATTTCTAATCCAGGTGTGTTGGGAGGGAGGAGGGGGATGTCGCACCTGTTTTTTTCTGAGTGGTAGATTGCTGCAGACCAAACGTGCAGGAAGGGGACTGGACCTTATTGCTAGGAAACAAAGTCCAGCTGGCTCTCTCCCATATTGCCTCTGGAAAAGCTGAATCCAGTAAAAGGAAACTGTAAGAGTTGCAGAATGGAGGAAGCAACAATTAGTCAATGATGTATTTCGTAGTGAATGGAAAAGCAAGGTGGTGTAGAAGAATAAGAAACTGTGATTTAAAAAAACTTTGGAGTTTCCACTCACTTAGGCAATGAGATCTCTCATATATAAATGTGACTATAATGATCTCTTTCTCTCTGCTTTATGGTGAGAAGGATGAGCTAAAGTACAAGGAAGCACACACCTAACACCAGTGCTCCAGGGGGGAGGCGGAGGCAAAAGAAAGCCCAAAGCAGAACTCTTTGGTAAGAGTTCTTTTTTAACTCACAAAGCACCCATACAAACAGCTTTAAGAGGTAGGCTCTTCTCTAGTTTCTCTGGGAAGCTGCTTAGCTATCCACATCATCAATGGGGAGTTGTGCAGTTGATGACAACCTGGAGAAGCAGAATTCCCCGTGCCTCCACATAAGATTATGTTTCTGGATACTTTGCTCATTTCTCTGTTTTGGCGCAGCTAGGCTAGTTGTTTTAGATAGCCGGCATCCTTTATGCCGGTAGGTTTTGATTTTTTGGAGAATTCTTCAGTCATTTCAATCAGGTTGTGAAATCCAGTCCCTACCAGGTGCTTAGATTTTCTAGGCACCCTGAGAGGTGAAGAGACCACTCCCCTTGCCTTCATTTTTCATGGACCTTCAAGTAACCAGTGTGCTGCTGGATGGACTATGAAGCCAGAATGCTTAGGCTGTATCTGGTGCCATATCATCCTTGACTTTTCAATTTAGGGATTCTTAAGCCACCATTTTAAACTTCTGGCTCACAGGACCTTAAACTCTTTGTGAGACATAAATATCGAAATACTTAAGTCTGCCAAATCAATCGGGAGGCAGTGACTCCCAGTCAAAATAAACTCTGATTCTATTCACATCCAGTCATGGGGCCAAGTCTCCAGGATTGCAGCCTGAGAAATCTGCAAGGATTGGCCGCTTCTAGGGTCTGTGATGGAAGTCAAGCATAAATATGCCCTATTCTTTCCTAGGAGTGTAGGAACCCCTCTTATCTGAGAATTATATGACTCAAGACACAGGCTGGGAGACTCTTCAGCTGTTAGTTTGGGTTGCTTTTGTTTAACAAAGACCCGAGTCATTATTTATAAGTCCACATGGAAACAAACAGAAGTCTGGTGTTTTGTGATCAAAGGCAGGAAGGGTCTTGAAATACAACAGTTACAGTTGCATTTGGGTTTTGGAAAGTCCTCTGAACACCCTGATCCTTCCTCAAAGCTTGGAGAAAGGGGCCCTGCTTAGTGCTCTGGCTCGCCTGCCCTGACTCTCACCCTCCCTTTCTTATCACTTGCTGCCCAGGATGAGCTGCTGCACACCACAAACAGGACTGTTGTGGGGGTCCCTAGATCTGTCTTCAGAGTCTCAGAAGTGTGTTAGGCGAGGAAACAGCCCTTGGACAGAATGCTCCTGTCTGGACCTTTACTAAGTCCTCTCTACTCGTTGCTGTGTTCCCCATCCCCCATCTCCCTGGGGAGGGGGGATGGAAAACACAATTACGTGAATGGTTTATTTACATGAAGGTGGGCGCCACCTATCGGAAATAGGTGGAGTGACAGCCGCCCCCTAAGTCTTGTAAGGGCATGCTTCACTAGCTTGTAGTTTAGGCAATTTTGATTAAAGACCACTGGTATTTCCTGAGAGAAATTAATAGCCATCTCCAAGAGTTCCTTGGGACATTAATCCTATATTCTCATTAAGTTCCCAGGAAATGACCATTCTAGGGGAGGATTACCCTGTAGAGATTAAAGGGTATGGAGGGGGTGGACCCAGACACCACCTATGCCCCTTTTCCTTTCTCCTCCACAAAACCTGGGCTCCAAAGGGTGTAGTGTGGCTTTGAATGTTATCAAAGGCAGCCTGCATTCGTGCCTGTCTCAAAGTTGAGGGTTTGTGGCCAGCAGCAGGTGCATGGCTCGTGGAAGGATCCCAGGAATGGGTTGGGAGAGCTGGAGAGAGCTGCCCTTAACTGCACACCAGGCCAGAGTGATTAATACCATTCTCTTCAGGATTGACGTCAGTGACTGGCCTGCTAGTCAGATTGGATGTTTGTGTCCTAGACCTTCTGCCTTTTCTCCTCTTCAATTTAGCTGACAGGTTAATCTCAGAGCTGAGTGCTGTGCTGTGTGCTGTGAGACAGCCAGTGTGACCATATGAGCCATCTTAGCTGGTAGCTTTCAGGACACTCACTTGGGGGGGCGGGGGTATCATGTGCTCCTGGTTACTTTGGACCAACTTTATTACCCTCATTAAATTACCCTGTTACCCCAGGCTGTGGATGGTGGGCTTGGGTTGTGACTAAGACTTGGTTGGACTTCTTCTCTGTTGAGAAGTTTGATAAACTTCTTTGAAAAGTTTGAGCTAGTACATTTTTTCAATTTCACCTTTGTCAATAACCAGAACCAACCAGACATACACACCTTCTTTAATTCCAGCACTCTGGGAAGCAGAGACAGGCAGATCTCTGAGTTCAAGGCCAGCCTGGTCTACAGAGTGAATTCCAGAACAGCTAGAGCTATAAAATGAGCCCCTGACTCAAAAAAAAAAAAAAAAAAAAAAAAAAAAAAAGAAAAGAAACCATCAATAGTGGTGGGAGTGACAATGTTCCTGGAGTCATTAGCTGAAAATCTAGTCCCTGGCAACCTGAGCAAGCTACAGTCACCTGTCCTCATATACCAATAAAGGGAGAAAGGAACTTTACTCACTGTGGCCATGTTGAGAACTAAAAAGTGTCAGTGACTCATGTCCCTAACCCCAAGTTCACCTTGTGGGGAGCACTGACTTAAGTTTAACCAGAGGGCAAAAGACATATGTAACTAAGCAATTCTGGTCAATGTGTGGTCCTATTTATCACTGACCCATCATTGCCCTAGCTCCAGTCTATCCCCAAAATTGTCAGAAGGAGGCAAGTCCCTACTCTGGCTAGCACAGGGCTTCAGCTGTGCTCCATGAAGGAGAGAGAGGGAGAGAGAGAGCAAGTATTCTTCATCTGTTTAGTAGTCTGATAGCTGGAGGAAGGGAGACCCTTCATTTTTTTTAGATACCCTTTCTCTTGCCATGGTGGGTAAAGCAACATCTCTCTGTTATGCAGATCCTGCTGTAAATCCAGTTGTCACTCTCCTAAATAGTACTGTGTACTGTAAACAAGGAGCAGCTCCTTACCTGCTCCACAGAGAAGTGGCTTAAATTAGACTACAAGTCTTGACTACAAGTCAAGACCCATTTCCCCAGAGCTTACCACATGTTTTTTTGTCTGTTTGTTTGTTTTGTTTTCTGAGACCAGGTTTCTCTGTATTGCTTCCCAGCCTGTCCTAGAACTAGCTCTATAGACCAGGCTGGCCTTGAACTCACAGAGATCCACCTGCCTTTGCCTCCCTAGTGCTGGGACTAAAGGCATACACCACCAACATCCAGCTTATCACATGTTCTTTACTGGAAATACTTAGCCAGAGTTATGAGTTCCTTGAGGGCAGGAGTATATCTTCATTTCTGAGGTCAGATACATAATACATGGCCATTCTGTATTTGTTGTGAGGTCAAAAGAATCCATCTTTGAAAGGATGACAAGTAGGACTGTGGACTACTGAACACTCAGAATACTTCAGAAGGATAGAGTCCTACCACAGTCACCATCCCAGCTGGAAAGGCTGAGCAGATTCAAGGAATCCTGAAGTTGCCCCACTGAAGATGGTTATTAGCTGGAATTGTAGCTTAGGGCTGGAGAGCTTGGCCAGTTAACATCTGTAACTCTTGGGGGAGTTTCAAAATCCTTGGTTCCTTTGACCTTTTGATTTCTACCCTCAGGCTCCAGAGAGCTAACTCTGTTAACCTTTAGTTTCCAAATCCAGCTACTATGGTAGATGCCTGATTTCTTCCTCTCTGGGACTAAGCACTGAATCTTTCTGGTAATCCTGACTCCTGGCTTTACTGATAGCCCTGAAATCTAGCATTAAGCTTCTCTCCCCACATAATACTAGAAAAGCGGGAGAAATCATATCCCAAATCAAAGTAGTTTCATAGAACATGTGTGGTGATATTTTGTTTATGATCTAACAAATAAAGCTTGCCTTAAGGTCAGAATGCA